CAGTGTAGCGTTCCCATCCTTGTTTAAGTGACATACACCGGTATTGCGGTATTTTCAAAATTCATATCATAACAAAACTAAACACCAGTATTCGGTATGAACCGGTATACCACCCAGCACTACGTACTCGTGTATCATACTGTGCTTTTACCATCATTTACTGCAGTGTCACGGCTCTTCCTTTGTTGTGCTGGTCTGTTGGTCGTGTCTGATGCTCTCAGGGATTTGTGAGGGAGCGTTATGTCATCTTTCCATCCCTCAGGCTGCGATCGGATGTGTTTAGCTGTCAGAAATCTTCCCCGATATCCCTCTGAATCTCTGCTGAGCGACATCTTCCTAATGTCAGGCTTTAACGCTCTTCTGCTGTCATTCAGACCGCACGTCTCTCAACCGGCTACACTTCAGTCTGTTCCTCACACAGATCCGTCATGACTTCTGAAGACCTGGGAGATGTGCAATAATCATAAAGTCTGCTGTTATTTATGGGGATTTTGACCTTATTCAATTGTCGTTTGTAGGTGATTTGATCCTTTAATTGTTCATGATTTGATTTAATAGTCAATATTTGATTTGATAGCAACATAGTTTGTATGAGCTCACACTATGTTATGTCATTTATTTATTATTTGTATAATTTAACATTCATTTGTATTAATTTAGAGTATTTTAATGTACTTATTTTTTATTTGACTACATTTTTTGTAATTAATAATTATTATAATTATTTATTTATATATATATATATATATATATTTATTATACAATTATATGCTTCTATACATTTTTATTTTATTTATTTATTTATTTATTTATTTTAAGATTTATTTTTATATATTAATTATTTTAAAATATTTTTTATTTTACTATTTTTTAAATTTATTTATTTTACTTTTGAATCACTCAAGCACATAGATTATTGTTATGATTTTTAAAATGATTTTGACCTTTTTCAGTTGTCGTTTGAGGTTGATCTGTTCCTATAGCTGTTCGTGATTCGATTTAATAATGAATATTTGATTGAATATCCGCACAAGTATTTGCGGCGCTGAAAGGCCACGCTGTGGGAGAGATGACACAGAAATGGCCTTTTCTCCCGTGTTTCTGAGGGCAGATGAATGGCAGACTGTGATCTGGAGAATCAGATCAGTGTGTATAATAACAGTCTTCATGGAAACTCATTGCATTCATGTCAAGCATGTTTCCATTGGTTCAAACAGACCCAAGCCCTTTTCCACTTCATTATTTGCTGGTATGTTTTTGTCGGATGTTTTCCGTACAGTATCATAAAGCTCGCTCCCGTTCGGAATGTATGCAGGAATGTGGAATTCTGTGTTTGAACGTGTTGCCGTGGTGATGACCCATGATTCTAGAGAAGGGTTTATGTGACTGTCAATCATTATGCCTCATTATTTATTCATTTTTTATTTATTATATATTCAACATTAATTTGTATTCATTTTGATTGATTGATTAATAATTTTTTTTATTTATTTTTACTGTTAATTTATTATAATATATGCTGCTCAAGTATTTTAATATTGATTTTATTTAACTCGTTATTTTCAGTTGTTTATTATTCTTTTTATTTATTCATTTTATTTTACTATTTTTTTTGTTAAGTTACTATGCATTTGTATTTATTTGCTATTCATGTTTATTTTGTTTTACTATTAATTATTGATATATTTTATGTAGCTAATTTTCATTTATTTATTTTAACATTTATATTTTTATTTATATATTTTACTTTTTTTCAATTTATTTATACTGTTCATTTGTATTTAATTTATTTTACTGTAATTTTGTATGTATTTTATTTTACTGCACATTTGTATTTATTATTTCTTTTCATATTCAGTTTTATGTATTACTGTATTTTGTATTTTTATTACCTTTATTTTAATTTTGTATTTATTTATTTATTTACTTAATTATAATTCTTTTACTATTATTATTTAGACTAATGTTATGATATTTTTAGTAATTGTGGCCTTCTTCGGTTGTTGTTTGCAGGTGATTCCCTGTAATTATTTATGTATATATATATATATTTTTTTTTAAAATTAATTTTATTATATTTTTCAGTTTAATTAAATTGAATATATTTTAATGTAATATTAATTTATATTTTATTTTACCCATGAGTAAAATATTTATTTATTTGTTATTTATTTTATTGATTATTATTGTTATTTCAGAAATTTGCTTATTTGTTTCTTTGTAAATATTACCCAAGAAATAGTTTATTAAAGCAATATTCCAGGCAATATGCTAGGTGCAGCATGAAGCGGGTCATCTTAAAATCACTGAAACAGAATATTATAAAATGGTTTTATAAAACAGCAGGAATGTCCATTTAATAAAAAAAGATGCCAGTGTTGTAGGTGTGTTCTTCCCAGGATTTGTTCTGATCACTTAAACCAAACGTGATGGTGATAGTGTGGTGTTTTTCCTCAGATCGGCACGTTCACGACGCACAGCGGTCAGTTCTTCCTGGAGCCGCTGCTGAGCGCTGATGGAGAGGAGTATGAGGAAGAGCACAACAAACCTCACCTGCTCTACAGACACGAGTCACATGACTCTCAGCCATGCAGCGCCTCAGGTAAACGCTTCAGCTTCATCAACTCCTTCAGCAAGTGCATTCGCACACTGTAAAAAACAAACCCGTAAAATTTACAGTAAAAAACCAGCAGCTGTGGTTGCCAGAATTTTACCGTAAAAAATACAGTAGCAACATTTGAGGTTTTACGCTTTTAACTTAAATGTACATTTAAATACCGTAATTTCATTAACTGATATAATGTTAATATACCAACCCACTGAAGTACTGAAATCTGTTTTGCCAAAAGCCCATCACAAGCAGCTTTTAAATAATAACACCTATAGAAGGTGCACAGTGTCGATTCACACAAACACTAAACACCATCACGGTGACACACATCAAACTGAAGCCATGCAATAAACATTAATTTAACAACATTCGGTGTAACATACAACCCTAATGTACAAAACTGATAAGATGATAGTGTGGTGTTTTTCCTCAGATCGGCACGTTCACGACGCACAGCGGTCAGTTCTTCCTGGAGCCGCTGCTGAGCGCTGATGGAGAGGAGTATGAGGAAGAGCACAACAAACCTCACCTGCTCTACAGACACGAGTCACATGACTCTCAGCCATGCAGCGCCTCAGGTAAACGCTTCAGCTTCATCAACTCCTTCAGCAAGTGCATTCGCACACTGTAAAAAACAAACCCGTAAAATTTACAGTAAAAAACCAGCAGCTGTGGTTGCCAGAATTTTACCGTAAAAAATACAGTAGCAACATTTGAGGTTTTACGCTTTTAACTTAAATGTACATTTAAATACCGTAATTTCATTAACTGATATAATGTTAATATACCAACCCACTGAAGTACTGAAATCTGTTTTGTACCGTTGTAAACACTGCACTATAAGCAGGTGGTGATGAGAAAATCACGATGCCCCAAAGTCCA